TTGATATGAATACCCCCACATTTATAACAAATTATGGATGAAAAGCCCTTAATCAAAGACACTTGGGGATGTACGTGAAGGCTACTTGGTACATGGTGATAGATGACCCTCTGTAGACTCCATAGCTCACCTATTTTACTGATTTTGTGTAGTGATAAGATTTTCCACCTTAAAAAGCTATTAATAATTTAACCTGCTCCATTGCATTCAATATCTCTATGGGATGTGTCAACTGTGGAAAAATGATACAAATATGAACTTTCTGAAACAGTAAATTTGATCAATACTTGAGCCAGCTTTTCCTCTGAAGCTAATTCCTAAGTAATTTCTTCTGCCTGATGAAGTTTGCTGCCTGCAAGTAGGAGTTAGATCTCGATGAGCACAGCACAGTCAGCTGCATTTGCAGATGGAGCTCAAAATCTCTGTAGAATGTAATGGAACTTTCAGTGAATGAGATAAATGGCATATGTGTGGTTTTTGTTTACTTACAGAAAAACAGTGAATTAGTCTAAGTGCCTAATGAGTTCTTTGCTTTTATTATCATGTTCTTCTGATGTTCCACAGAATACAGTCTTTCATAATCAGAAGAACACGATAATCAGTGAAATTGGTATCATATCAATTTTACTTGTTTCGCTAGAGAAGGAAGGATGCTATTCTTTTGGTGAAATGAACAAAGTATAGCATTTTTACTGCAACGTGCAATTACACTAGGCACCAGCTTAGAGTCATTCTGTAGCTAAAATTTATCCAGTGCTCCTTAACTACATCATTAAGAATTTATAAGCTAAGAGTACACATCTTGCAGTCTACTGAGGAAAGGCAGATGAAAGACAGAGTCGGAGCGATATAAACATATGAAAATAGCGAGCTCATAATTAAAAATATCACCTCTGGAATGATTTCTAAATCTCATTACAAAGGATGTCATTTTGGGAAAGAAGGAAAGGCACAGACACGGGAATAGAAATTACACTACAAGTACCAGGTAGCATAGAAAGATTGTCCATAGCTTGAAAGGAAAGGAGACTTCTCAAGACAGTAGCTGCTATGAAACTGTTCTACGTGAATGTGTCCAATTTATGTTCTGTCTGTCCCTGCCTGTTGATGTAACCTCTCAGGAAGAATAGCTGTCTGCTGATTTTTGGGCAAATCTTTAAACTTATTTTAATGTATTTTAACTTGCAACTCCAGAAAACACCACCAACCCCATCCTGATTGGTTTTAAGGGTAGAAAATGAATAACTGTTTAAAGCTATTTTTGCATATTGTCACGTAAACCATGACAGTATAGGACAGCACCTTGACTTCTACTAAGGAACTTCTGTTTTACTGACATAACCCCAGATAAAACACTGGTGAATCACAGTTTGACAGCTGACAGTGTTTATCCAAGCAGTGACTGCTTCAGTGTGCAGCTCAATCACAATGCCCTTGGACTGTGCATGGAGAAGCAGTAATGCCTTCAGGAGGCACTCTACAAGAAAAGAGCTCCTCCTCATTACAAGACAGAAACATATTATTCAAAACTTCAACATTTATGCACTCTTGTAAGGAGGTCTGCTTCTATATTAGTTATGTTGTTTTCTTTTTTCCCCAGGAAAATGCTTTTCCATAGGAAAGTGTAATTCTTTGATCAGTGATAAATCTTTGCATCCCAGAAAGTGTACTGACGGACTTGGGAGCTGAGATTGCTCTGACACCTCAATCCCAACCTCTTTGTAGCATGAGAAAAAACAGAACTTATGAGCCATCTCAGGTCTGATATTCAGATTTGTGTGAAGATAAGCAAACAATGTGAGGTATTTCTCTCACAGATTTTTTGAATTCTAGCAAGGACAGATGTCTCTGAATTTACAAGTGGAACCTTTGTTTGTTCTTGTTAGCCTAAAAAAATCTTATGGAATGGAACCCAAGAGCTGAAATATCACTCAGACCATATGCCTAATTTTTACACTGAAGATTTATGTGTCAGGTTAACAACATAATTATCCTATTAAATGATATTGCAGGGTATCTGAATTAAGAATGATAGCATAGATGGATACGTAAAGGTCATTCTTTGATGCATTAGTTCTTTTATTGATGGGAAATTTAACGCATAAGTAGTTTGTATTTAGCATGAAACCTCCTCTAGCATGAAAATCGCATCCCACTGCCTGTCATTATAAATATTAATTCACAAAATGCATTTCCTTCATGTAGTTCCTGACAGCCTATGTGGTGGAACTGACAAGTTAGTTGATAAGAGAGAGGCACAAGAGAAACAACAACAGCAACAACAATAACAAAAAACACCTGACAAGTTTACTCTAAGGTGTCAAAGTGCATTAAGATATTTAGATATAGATTCCTTCTGAGTTGCAGTGGATAAGGGTCAACTTGAAGATGGAACAGTCAGCAGTATATTCAGATCATTAAAATCACACATAGTCCAGAAAGGACTGTGCCAATATAAAGCTATGTACAAAACAACACAAAACCACCACCAAAAACTACTGTGGCAAATAAAGCTCAAGACTTTGCAATGAGAAAGCACAAGAACTGGCAAAGGCTGCATCAAGAGGTTTTAACAGGTTAACAGAAACTAAGATAGGAAGGTGAAATGGGCACATAAGCAATGATTCAAGAGAGCTTTTAGAGTAATTGATATGTTCTAAAAGGTGCTAAGTTAAAATTTTCCTGGCAAATCGATCATTACTGAGCCAAAGGGAATTCAAAGTGGGGAAAGATGGTAGGCACAACGAACTGCAGAGCTGAAGGAGCTGCCAGGGAAGTTTGAGGAAATGGCTGACCTGAGAAGTAGAACCAGCTCTGCCCTTCAGTATGGTGCAAAATTCCTAGCAAAACTGGAGCTGCTGGAGGCAGGAGGTCAGGGAGTGTCAGGGTATAGGCATCCACAAATCATTCTAATGAAGGATCAGTATTTGGAAACCATGAGCATCCAAACAACTTTTTATGAGAGTAAAACTCTTCTTCTACTTCCCATGAAGAATGACAAAAATTTGCATTTATCCTCTGTTAGCATCGTGCTAAGAAGCTGATATGCATATTTGTGTGTTGGTCCCTTCTTTCCTACTTGTTTCAGATCTACTACTCTTTGCATATGTAGATCTGAGGATGCAAAGTTGTTAAGGAGCACAGGTTTGGTTTCCTCTGCAAACAAATATATTGCTGTCTGTCCTTTGGAGTCCAACTGGAGTTCCAACCATTCTATTAATCCAAGCAGCAAACAAACCAATGTAAATCAAACTTGAGGCACCCTTTGTATGAGTCAAGTGTGTGTAATTGACTGTATATTACAAAGATAGAAGTAGCTCTTCAATTTGCTATCCGTTCTTAAGCCTTTTTTTACTGCAAACAACACTTGATTTCAGTGACTGGGGATATGTCCAGTCTGCTTAGCTACTAAGAAGTCCTCGATTCATGGAACTTCTGAAAAGAATCTGTGAATTATAAAACATTCATCTTGATTCAAGGAGATCTATATCTCAGTATTAGTGTGTGCTACAAGAAAATCTTTGCAGGGCTAGATCATTAATTTTAACTAAAGAAAAAACATTAGAAAATATAGACACATTTTTCAAAATGGGAAAAATCAAATGCCAAGACAGTTTTCAGAGGTCACATATTTCAAGGAGTTGACTAAACTCTAAACAATGCTAGGACATTTGGCTACCTTTTGAAATATCTTTTTGCTGATGCTGTACATATTATAGTGTGGCAATACAGAGAAGCTATAGCCAAATTTCTTGCAGTTTGGTTTTGGTTTCGATAAAAAAACCTTGTCCTATTTTAGGTCTCATTTTGTGTGTTTCTTACAGTCTGATCAGTTGAGAAGATTGCAACAGACTAAATCTGCATTCTCAATGTGTATTAATTTGTTTATGTAATAACATTGGCTTTGAAATTATATTAATCTGAATAATTGAATTAAATTATATGTTGTTCTACTCTTATGCATTATGGCAGTTTCATGCACAGAATACTGAATGTTCTTCTTCAATTTAACCAATGAACTTTGGCTGCTGGGTGCACTTCTCATTTCCCTGCTTCTATAAAGCAGTTTTTATGTCTCAGTGTTAAAGTGAGGTATACACATTTTAGATTTTTTCATAACACTTAATCCACATTAGTTGTTACTACAGAGATAACCACCTAGATTTGAAGAGCACTGAAATCTAGTAACTCAAAAAGTAATTTCATTTTTATGGGAACAAAACAGGGTGCTGAGGGCTATGTTGGGTAAATATATTCATGCACTTTCATTTAAGCAGCAGAAAAGTGGAGTAGCCTAGCACACCATGGTGTTGTTTTTGCTTTTTTTTTTTTTTTGACGCACCATTAAACCCCAGCATGCAAGCAAGTTAATAACTTCATCATTTTATAACATAGGTATACTTAAGAAAAGATAAAAGATGGAAGGAAGATTAGCTTGCAATTAAAAACAGTGGGGAAAGCATTTTGTGCTTACAATAAATAAATTACAAACAAAAGTTATTTTAAAATTTTGTGTTAGTAGAGAATTTATATTTCAAAGCTGTTTCATAGCACTGAAATATTGAGCTTGCTGGAGCAACTCACATGTTTTTATTTATCTACAAGAAAGCTAAGGGTGGAAGGCAAAGATACTAAAATGTTATTTTTACTTTTTCACTCTGCTTCAGAAAATTATATTGGTCCTTACATTTATTTATTTAGTTTACACTAAGGGGAATCTACACAGTCATTGTGCAAGCAAAATCTCCAAGTGTGTCAATCAAACACGACTAATTTTCATAATATTTTCCAACAGTAATGTAGCTAAATAAAAGTTGTAATGCTTTCTGAATTGGAACATGCAATTGTATGTTTTATGGCTGGCTCAAATGTCTTACCACTGCTTTAATGAAAGATGTAATGCTTGAGTCCATGTTAAAATCTCTCAGTCTTTAGAAATTATTTATTTGACATTTTCTGTGGATATGAACTTGTTATTCCTTTTGCATAACGCTTCAAAGCGTTACTATGAAGACCAGATGACTTTCTGAGAATATTAAGATGCATTTTCATAACTGGACTCTCTGTCTCAGGGGATTATCTGACTTCTTCACCTCCTCCAGCTGTGAGATCCCCCCTGCTTCTGTAAGTAAGCATTAATATTCAAGCAGTTCTGCAGTGAATCATTGGACTGAAAATGTAACCTCCAAAAATTAAATGGTTCATTTTCATTTGAGCAATGAAATGACTGAATTTACCCTGTGGGCCACGTAATTTTAGCAATAAATTAAGGGTAATTACATGGAACCAGGATCAAGAGGAAAGATGGGGAGGTACCTTTTGGTAACAGAGCAGTCTTAGGTTGGCTTGTCATTGTCCTCTGAGACAGTTTTGAGACAGGCTTTGAATGCTAATTTCTTTAGAAATGTGGACTTGCAGTTCACAGGTATGTGGTGGTAACGTTATGTGGTCTTTTTGGACTCAAGAATGTGAAAGAAATACAGACTTTATAGAGGTTTCAAAAGGCATGAACTTAGTCTGTGTCTTCGGGCACCTCGTCTAATCCTACGTATCAAGTACCATGCAATTCTGTGCTCTTCAGAAGTCTCATGGAGCATGAAAATTTAAACTAGAGTTCTCTTAAGAATTTTCACTTTAAAAAAAGAGTATATGAAAATCCTCTGTTAATTCTGATTTTTTTTTTTAACAATTCCTTGAAACAAACAAACAAAAGTTTCTATTTTTGATGGAAACATAATTATTCTTTTCCTGTTTTTAGATTATTATATTCCAGGAGAATCCTTTTTCAATGGAACCTGCCTCTGTTATGTGCTATCTGAGAAATTTCATGCCCAAGGGGTGTGACAGGACAAGGAGAGGTGATTTCAAGCTGAAAGAGGAAAGATTTAAACTGCATATAAGAAAAAGATTTTTAAGGTAAGACTGGTGAAGCACTGGAACATATTCCCAGAAGGATTGATATTCCATCCTTGGAGACACCGAAGGTCAGGGCTCTGAGCTTCTGATGGAGCATTCTGATGTCTCTGTTCCTTGCAGGACAGTTAGGCCAGATGGCCTTCAAGGGTCCCTTCCAACTCAAACAATTCTGTGAAATAGCCTCTGGCATCTCAGACCTTTCTTTAACCAGATTACTCGCATGTTCTAGGAGATGTTGTGTGTGGAATAATTTGCACATGGTCTGTTTTCCATCTTCTAGGCATTGTAGTTACATGACAAAAAGGAGGACACATTCTTGAAAATACAGACCATAGCGTCATTTGAAGATTGTTCTTATACAGATGTGCATTTGTAACTTCTTCCCTGCTCTGCTGTCCAGACATACAGTTCTAAAAATTGCATTTTATATCTGCTGATGAATGACCTACGTATTTAGTCCTTTACCAAAATTCCTTGCTTTGGACTTTTGCCAGAGCCATGGTGGTTTTTTGGAGAGGATTATTTCTCCAAGAAGAGTCAAAAGGAACACATTGAGAAACTGTCACATATCATGTCATGCTTCTAGCACTGTGTGTGACAAATCCAAAAGCTTTAATGTCACCATTAACAAATGTACTATCACTCAACCTTATCACCTCCTGACATCATATGACTCTTTCTCACTTCCTTTCATCTTGCTGTCTCTGGGTGCCTATCACTGCAATAGCTCTTAGTGCACACCGTAAATGAATTCAGACAGACTGTCATAGTTCCGTAGCTAATCTTTCATTTCTTTTTACCTTTCAAATTTAAATGATCCAATTGTAATGCTTTTGAAATCTCGTTTGTCTAAACTTTGGGGATGTTGAAAACCCATCTTTGGCCCACCAGTAAAAACAATGATTCCTGCTATTTTGGGTTCTGTGGAGCTAAAACGAACTATCAAAAAAAGTGAGTTAACACTTGGATTTGTGAAAATAGTATTACTGAATTGTAAAGTAGATGATATGGGTACATTTTCACATGCAAAGAGCAATGAGTCACGTTACAAAAGAAGTTTGAAAAATAATGAGACTTGCCTCAACATATATTATTCATTCTATAGATATTAATACTGGTCTTCAATAATTCATGGCCTGTGTTTGTTTGTGTAGGATTCAGATGTTTTCTGACACCATCGCGCTCCCTGGCACAGGAGGGATGAATGGAACAGAAGCTCATGTGTGGAAGATTACTGATTTTTGTAGCATTGCAGACAGGAGCTGCCAGCGGGGAAGCTAATACATGAGGGGCTGAGGAGTGAGTGCTTTAGGAGGAAACCATCTAGATCTCTCAGACAGCTCAGTGTGTAATTCTGGTAATACTATGGACTCTTTTCATTCCACCTTCTGTAATAATTTATGAGAGCTAAGAGACTGTAGTTAGTAATGGGTCTGCTATGCCTATTTTTCCTTGGAGCTATATCCTTAATGGTATTTTTATACAATATTTTTTTGCCTTTGCGAGCTGTACTGTTTTGCTGTGTGCTCAAAGCCCATTGGGGCACAGTGTGGGTGGCTGTGGGTGCTGTACCTGTGGCAAAGTAGGGATATCCCAAAGCTCTGGAGAAGGGGAGGATGTGCCCGGGGCTCTCTCACATTTCACCAGGAGTTGTTCTCTTCTCTTGATAAATAAATACTGAGTATTAGGGTTCACTAATATTCCAATATCAAGATAATTTTCTCTTGTCTTTGTACAACATTCCAGTTCCTCACTATGCCCCCACAGAACCATACTTGAACACAAGGATGGAGTCTATAACTTGTCTGTAAGCAAAAATGCCTGCCTTGTGACTACACAAGAATCCAAACAGCAAAGTTAAAATTTTCATTATTTTTAAACAGGTGGCATCTTTCCATTTTTCTTTTTCTTTTTTTTTCTTTTTTTTATGGTAGTGAGATGGGTGCTGAATTTTAGCATTAGTCTCATGAAAGATGGATAGGGTTCATTTTACTCATTCATCTTTTGTACTGCGCTGTCATCTGCTACGTTGACTCATTTTACACATTTACTTTGATGTCATCAGGGCTAAAGGAAAATTCGATTCCAGAAAAGCAGAATGATAGGAATTAGGTAACTTGTAGCTATTGCCAGGTTGGAATGAAGGGCTTTTCAAGGACCACCAGCATATGAATAGGTTAACCTCGGATGCACTGGTAGAAGAAAAGTGACCAGACATATTTTTAGCCTTTGGCAGCCAAGGAGAACAGAACCTCTGAAAACAGCATGCCTGAAACTTAGAATGAAAGAATGTGTCAGGAAACTAGGCAAATATTACAGAGGGGAAGCTGAAATTTTAGGAGAAAAGGACAAGGGGAAAGGCAGAGTCAAAAGTAGAGATATGCTTTTACCCTTTGTTTTTCTTCCAAGTTTAAGTTCCTAAAAGAACACTGTCCACATGAGTAAAAATGCCAGGTTGTTTGCAAAAGCCTGCCTCTGCAAATTTGTGTTTTATTGATTCTGAAAGAAGGAGTTACTAAATAGATGCCTATGTTCATTTGAAGCAAGCTGGAGTTCCTGGAGAGAATCGCGTGCTGTGAACATGGCAACCAGCTCTGATGCCCAAAGATCTAAAACTGAAATGGTGCTCCTGCCAGGGGAGGATGGCCAATATCAAAATGTGCAGCCTTCAAAAGGTTTTAGTTCTCGTTTAAAATTCTATCTCCTTTTACAGTGACCTTTAATTATTACACTGACCCTTAACTTGTGAACTGTACACTAGCTGATAGTGCCTGGCCTCTGCTGAAACATGTGCTGCTGCAGAAGTCTCAAGGCTTGACTGTGTTCACTCTCAAGAGGCTGTAAGTCAGCTTGATATACCTCTTCCAAATGCAATGTGTCTCTTAGTGTCAAGTTCATGAGTCTATGTAGCTTAGAATATCTTGTATATACAAATCTGTGATTAGAGTTTAATGATCTTATGGTTTAAATTATTTCATTGAATAAGCTCCATGCATAATTTCAAATATATTTTCATAATTTATATAATTCATATAAATTCATATAATTTCAAAAATTCAAATATATTCCACCATGGGAGTATTTTTATACTTTTCTAACCAATGTTATCAAAATACCTTTAAAAGAAGTAAAAGTGAAAGAAACAAAAAAAGATAAAATCAGAAAGCATTTAAACCCTAATGAGGGCTAAAGTATTTTCATTCACTTCTTTTCATTAGCCTTTATTTTTTCATTTCTGAACGCCATCATACTAAAGCACACCACAGACAGGTATCTCGTAAAGCAATTAATCTCATCACAAAAAAAAATGAACAGGATGACTTCTCTGAAGATACTGCTCTCTCTGCATTGACTACAAAGTAAGTTTAAATGGCTGCATTAAATTACATAAGAGATGACAAAGTGAGGTGACAGGAATACCATGATAAATTCAGATTCTTGGGTAAGCTTTCAGAGGTAAGATTTTTTATGATCCCAATTTTTATGAAAGTCAACAGGACTTAAATGATAAACGATTTTCAGACTCACCCTTTCTGTAACTGAAATCAGTATTATCATGCCTTCCCCCTTCTTCTCTGACCTACTGGTGAGACGTAAACTTCCAGGACCAGGATCAGAACTGTTTCTTATTGTCACTATGAAAAACACATAAGACGGTGTAACGATATCTTTTGTAGTTGGACTTGATGATCTTGAGGTTGGACTTGATGATCTTGAAGGTCTTTTCCAACCTGAGCAATTTTGTGGTTTAAGAACCCACTCATAGACACAGATCTGAGAGGTCTCAGTAAATAATTAAATTATGAATATATGCAAGAACCTTACTTTAAAATCACTAACAGCCCTGAGCCAAGATGCACATGGTACGTACCAAAACTGTTTACTAAAATCTGTAGCTTCTGATACCGTAAGGAAAAAGCATTTTCTAGGCTTGCAGCCAGGCGGGTATAAAGCAGCAGAGTTACATGGCTCCTCTGTGCTGCATTTTGTAGCAGTGACTGACATTTATTATTGCAGTGTTCATTAAGCATAAGGTACCAGTGGACCTCATAAAAAGAAGTAGTAAGGATGTATTTGTCATCCATGGTTCAAATGCCTGTAAATGAAAAATTCCAGTTGTTGCCTGCACCTTCCATATATATTTTCAAGGCACTAGTTTTAACTTCTGAATTCTGTATAATCTAATTCTATTTCAAACATTCGATTAGGCTCCTCAAGGAAATGGTGGAGTCCCCATCCCTGACATGTGGATGTGGTTTAATGATGGGACTCAATAGGTCAGGCTGATGGTTGGAACTGATCTTGAAATTCTTTTCCAACATAAATGATTTTGTGATTCTATGAACTGTCATTAAAATTCTCTAGAGCAACAGTTCTTCCATTCTCTCAGGGATTTGGCTCCCAAATCACAGGTTTCTGTGTATCGTAGAACAAAGTCTTGTGGGATTTTTTTGCTTGCTGGGTGATAAAAAAATCTCAGCTACCTGGAGATCTCACAGCCTTCAAAAGGCTCATGATGAGTTTAGTTGAGGATGCTGCCAATAAAATTTCATAAAAGTGAGCAACAAATGAGATGGTGAACTCTGTCCTTACTTGTTTATTTTTTTATGGTAGAGATTTTTGTTTTCTTAAGTCCCTAAATCAATTTTAGTTTTTGTAATCAGTTGTATAAAGCATAAGTACTTTTCTTCCAGACTCCAGACCTGATGGTTTGCAGTCACAGTGCTGGATAGACAGTTATTTGCTGCAGGACCTTCCAGGTCAGTTTCCCTTTAACTCAATGGATCGTTGCTAGTGTGTGTGCTGCAAATCTCCATTGCATGTGCAAGTTCATCTCAGCCAGAGGCATTTTCTTTTGTATGCCTGGGGGTCTTCTATTATAAATGGCCTGCCCGTCTGCAGTTACTAAATTCTAAGTAGGATAGATATGTATTGGTCAATAGGAACTCTAAATAAATCCTTGTGAACATTCTCCTCTTTTATTGATCTTCTCAGTATTTATTGCATTTAAAACACTACATAGCAACCAAGATATTTGCATGAGGTCAGATGGAAAATAGGAATTAATGAATACACAGAACTGGAGCATTTCCATTAGCTCTACTTCATTAGTAAAGGTATTATTTTCTATTTTATCTATTATTTTCTATTTTTTAATCTTCAGATAGGCATTCCAGCTGTCTCAGACATCTACTTTAGTATTCATACTCTCATTTAATCAGTAAATACAGAAAAAGGGATTCTGGGAAATACAGTGTGAATGAATGACAGAAGCCAGCCTGGTGACTGTTAACCTCAGCTCTGTTGGACTATGACTGCATGCTCTTTGTGAAAGAGTTGATAGAGTCAGCAGAGGATTGTGCTGAAGTAAAAGAATCTGAAGTGATGGAGTGATGAATCATTTCTGAGATTTGGGAACCTGAGAAGTCTGAATCTATACATAAGATTTTGTTGGGTCAGTATTGCAATTGGTATCTGAAGATGCATCTTTATTAGTGTATCAGCACCTGAAGTGTGCTTTTAGCATCATCGTGGTGTGCTTCAGAGCATAGAAACTGAGTTTTATTTGGGTGAAACTGAACTGGAAGATCCACCTAATCTGGAACTCAACAGAAAGCTCAGCAAACATTCTCTGGTCCCTCATGAAAATTCAGCTCGGGACCAGCCTAGATGCATTCTGGAGCAATCCCCTAAACATACATAACAGGCATTAAGTGCTCAGCACCAACTGTTTCAGTCCACTCCTAGGAGGCTGTGCTACCTGTCAACCTAATATGCACATGTAACCCATACTAGTAAGGACTAGAATATTGCCCTGTTTTCCAGACATTCCCTCAGGGATTACTCACAAAAAAACCTCCAGTAGCACAGGCTGAAAGATAAACACAGATGTTGCAGCAAGATTTTGCTCTGCTGGGATCCCCTTTATTTGCCACATAACTTGTTTTTCTTTTCCAAAGGCTCCACTGATATTATCACATCTGAAAGCACAGCATCTTATCCTTGACATTCTCCAATTGTGTCCAATTTTGAAATGAATAGTTGGAGAGTTTCTGAGCTTCTCCTTTCTTTTTGCTCAAGAAATATTATAGGAAATGAAATATAAAATCATATCAGCATCTAATCAAATTCCCAGCCCCTTTTCATTTTCAAAACAATCCCTACACTTAGCTGCGCAGTCTTGCTGAGATAAAATGTGGGCTGTGCAACTCCATCTCTCTGTGGGACATTATTCTATTGCTTTGATGATAGCCTTCAGACCTTCTATCGCTACCCCATGACTTAAAATACATTTGCTGCAGGGTCAGGCTTCCATCTGCTTTGCTCTTGGCAGCTGAAGTCAGCTTACTACAGAAGCAAAGGTGAGGGATGAAACAGGAAAGGAAAGCATAATGACTAAATGTTTTGTCCTTTTTGTTAGATGTGAGGTCATTTGCTGAACAAACAGCAAAACTGTCCCTGTTCTCTGCGTGGATGCCAACATGGGCCAATTGGGGAAGAAGGAAACAGGTAGTTCATAGAGAAGTCACTCCTTTGTTCTTGTGAACAGCAAAATGTTTACACTCTTGGGCCTTGCAGGAGAAATTGGATTTGCCAGAAATTGGAGCCATTTAATGAAGAAATTAATTTAAACTAAGACTGCATTTACCAGTTTTCGTAAAGACTCTTCAACCTGCTATTGCTACAGCTACTTTTTGAAAGAGGAATTAAAAAAAGAAAAAAAAAAACACCATCAAAACCAACATTGATTGCTGCAGTGATGCTTTAAAAATCTAGAAATGACAACTTATCTCCCTTTTATATAAGAGATGTATTTCGTTTTTACGTATCAGTGAAATGTACCCTATACTCCTATATTTTATTCAAAATTTTGTCAACTTGTGACACAAGCACTGAGTTTGCTTAGCACATGTAAATTGCCTAGAATTATGGGTGTATTTTTGATTATGCTGCACATTTCTTAGTCCTAGCTGGAGTAAGTCACCCAGAACTTAGCATTACCTTGGAGTTTCTTGGCTTCCTCTAAAAGTAATGGGGTTACCTGAAGATATGAGAGTCACTGGGCAGAGAACCCAGGTCTTTGAGAATCATGGAAGAGAACAGAGAAACCGTAAATGTGATTTTTAATCATAAGAACTGATAACACTAAATGTCACTGCTGCCTTTGTCCTAACAATGGCAATAAAAAATCCAAGCTTTACCACACGTACATTGCAGGAAATATACGTAAAGTTGCACAGTAAATAGAAATGGATGAAATAAGAGACAGCTTTCCCATGTGGCACGGCAAGATTTAATTCATTCAACAATTTAAGCTACTATTTTAATGATAAATATGCATGTAAAACACTGTATATGATGCAGACTACAGTATAAAGTATGTTATGAAATATGTATGCAATTCTTTTAAGGATTAAAAGCACATCTTACAAGGCTAAGAACTCCAAAGGCGAAGGTAAGGAACTAGCAGCTTTATCTCAATTCAGACTGCGATGGCTTTGTGTGCCTTTGAAATTGCTACACTCTCCAAAGAAAAAAGAAAGTGCTTTAAGTGTTTTTCCTTCTCTTTCAGCCAGGAGCTGTATGAATGAACACAAGTTTGAGTAAAGATAGTGTTCAAAATTTTAAAATGTTATGATAAATACTGCATGACATCTGTGTAAAACAGGTGCCCACTGTACACAGGACTGTGCTTTTGTTTATGTCAGATCTCTTGAACATCAGAAGTTCCAGATTGTTCTGGAATCGGTTTTATAAATGAGGGTTGGACGACTCAAAAGTACAAAGCATAATGGCAATAGAAAACTGCATCTCAGGAGATGAACGTAAGTCTTTTTTCTTTCTCACCCCCTCATTTTTATCTACATTTATCATTATTATCTGCATAGAGCAATAATGTATTGAAGAAATGTCTGATTTTTGATGC